AACTCACATGCTGATGGTCTTCAATTGTTACCAATCCATGTTTTCCATAGTTTTCCATACATTAAAGTTTTTGGAAAGACATACTCTATTTTCCATTATCGAACATAAAACTACAATTCTGTGTATAGCTTGATGCTACACAAAACTGGAAATTTCACACTAATCATTATAGATATAAGATGAGGGGGAGTTGAACAAGGGGAGTTCAAAATATGGGGATGGTTGTCACCTAAATTAGCTTAAACCATGAAGTGAGTTGTGGTGAGGATGCTCCTGGACAGAAGGGCTGGATTGATGATTCTTCCTTTATCTCTCTCTCGCTCCCATCCCCCTTATCCCTCTCTCTGTCTTTCTCTCTTTGTGTTGCCTCTATGTGCTGACGAATGCAATGGCTTAAAAAACTGCACTACTGAAAAACTTAATTGAACTGACACGCTCTGCAACACAAGTATAACTTTTCCACTGTTTGTATTTTTGTCGACATAATGCATTTCCTACAAGTTCCAGTATCTACAGCAAAGCAGACTGTAGCTGGGGGGAAACTACTAATCCTGACCAGTAAAATCTTGGGTTGACCTTTGGGGATAAACTCTTCCTTCTTTTGATTCATCTATTAGGGTGCATTGACCTCCAGCATTGGAAAGTAACTAAAAAGACTATTGTTTTCAAATAGAATAGATTTTCTATTAACAAGCTAATTTGTTCCAAAAAGTAGCAAAGAAATGGGAATTTGTCACAATATATGGTGTATGGAGGATTACAACCATGCTAGTCAAAAACTCCAGAGTCCAGGGCTACTAGCCTAACTGTATAAATATAATATTAAATTTCAAATATTGTTAACAGTAAGTAATAAAATAAAAACTAATAAATCAAATTACGAGCAAAAGTATATAAATACAATAGAACAAACATACAAATGAAATAAACAATGCTTTTTAGGTTGGTCTAACAGTAGTTTTCAGGTACAGAAATTAAATAAAGTAATAAAAAATAAAAAAGTACCCGTACCCAGACCTATCCGGCGAGATTCTGAAGTGTGCATACGATGAACACTTTACTATCCCATGAGGCCACAGGAGAGGACTTGTGAATGGCAGTGAAGTGACGAAACGGCTGTTAGGTCACATGATAACGACAACATGGCGAATGTACGTCCAGGTTACATTCATACACACATTGATACATACTACTTACTAATAGCCGATTTTAGTTTTTTGGTTGTGAAATAATTACTTATTCAAAAAAATACTAACTCAAAGAATGTGATTTTGGACGAGGTTTACGAGGAATATGGGCACTTTGCCATAATTTTGCACGATTATGTCCGTTCAAGAGCAAGACATGAAAGCCACTTTCTGGGTGTGCGCATTGAATGCGTGTTGCTCACACAAACATCTCAAAAAGTGCACGATTACTGAATTGAATTCTCTTTTGCATCTTAAGCTTAAATATTAAATTTGCAAGGCTTAAAAATACGTGCAAATGATAAACTTTTGTGACGATGCAGCACTGGTCCGATCTGGCAAGAGACAGTTCCGTCCACTGTCCCGAGCATCAGAGACAGATGATTCCCCGACACACACTATGGGGTTAACGATGGTCTGTACAAACTAAAAAACACATTTACCATGCACACACACGGACAGGTAGGTTCACAGCAGCAAGAAAGATTTTATTTTTCTCCAAAATACAGATTTAATGTACCAGAGATAGAGCCTTTAAATAATTTTAGTTAGGCTATAACATAATTTAATTAGTTTCAATCGACTAATTATCTAAGAAAATCAGGACAAACACACTTATAACATCCCAACAACAACTACACTAGAACACAAGTATAGAGATCTATACTCTGATATACCAAAACACTGTTTACCCAGTGTGGCTTTACTACTAGATTACACTTGACTTGATTTGAAGTCAGTGCTTATCCAAACAAAAGATCTTTATCAAAACACAACATCCAATCTAATTGATCTAAAACGCATTTTAAAAGGTGCTAAAGCAATGGTTTATAATCATAATCGTATAGTTTTTTTTAACCAGACTTGCTGGTGACCTGAGATTCTCTGCTGTGTTTATTCTCTCACTTCCCTATGGGCAGTGAGGAACTCACCAAAACCCATTTATTTGTTACATCAAGACTGCAATTGCATTTTGGCTAACTTACCAAAGACCTTTATCAAACACTTACAAAGAGTTCAGAATGCAGCAACAAGACTGCTGTGCTGACTCGTCCTGGACTGAGGAATCACTTAAATCCTTTGGCTCATTGGCTGCCAGAACTGATTGCAGGATCCTCCATTTTTAAATGTCTTCACGGTGTTGCACCAAACTACCTCAGCAATATGATAATGAAACACTTGAGACCAATGTGTAAAAAACAGCGGGTGGGCTGAATGAACATGCAAATTCAATCTCTGACAACAGGCGGCACTTATTGAAAAGCAAAAATACAGCGGTTACCCCGGCTACTATAGTACACAAAGTGCTGCCCAACTTTCTTTCCAACTTGCTTCGTTATAGAGAAGAAAGCAAATAAAACATGTTTCAAACAGCCATTATCAAACACCACCAAATACAAGATTATTAATTTCTAAGTGACACTAATTCGTAGTTTTATGTAACAACTAAGCATGTGACCAAAAGTTTGAATCTTATTGGTTTTCTTCGCAATGCGATAAATACCTCTCTGTAAAAAAATTAAAAATAAAAGTTGCATTAATGGCATGCAAATGTTCATGTGGGCCTAAACAGACATTAACATTAGTCTTGTTGTGAACTTGCTTGTACCTAAAACATAGCCGTCTTTATATTCACTGTTGTCTCAAACTGTGAAAAACAAGCAAATAGATATGCATTTAATATTTTAATTCTGTCTCACAGAGAGCATTACTGTCAAAGATACCATTTTACAAATATATAGGATAAATGTTCTGATAAAGTTTTTATTTTTGAAGTACGTGTGTTACCACTTGGTGTCTTACTACTTTCCTTTTAATCTTCAGTGAAGCACTTTAAAAGGTGCTTTATAAATAAAGTTTTGCTTATTTAGAGAGAACAATGGACAATATTTCAGTGCATCATGCATGACAGGAAATATTAAGCAACACCACATAATGTCTTTTGATCGTATCTTAGCATTTGGAAATGCCTTCTAGATAGATACTTTCCTCGTTCTCTCTTACTCACTTAATCACAGACTGATAATTCAGACAGAGTGGGTTTATCTGAACTGATACTGAAACAGATAATCTTGTCAAGGTGAATCAAATCAGAATCGGCCAAACATGCACCTAGATGCAATGATGCAATCACTGTAATGATGTATCCAATAAAATAAATCCCAACTGTGTGTCCTAGACTCAAATTAAGCACATGGCTTGTTAACAAAGGTGCAGAGTCATTGCGGTGCACTTGCTGTGCTAGATCACTATGGCTGATTTACTCAAGTGTTGTTCCCGGTGTTGGTCCATCACCCCTGTACACACAAGCACAGCAGGGTTCACGAAACGTCTTAGACTCTCGTCGAACGTCTGCCACATGGACTAAAGGAGATGACGGCTCTTGGTACAGAGAGCACAATAGCCATTCAGGCAGAGCTGCCCTCAGAACAACTCACAATGACTCAACAAAGAGGAACAGAAAGATGAATAGACAGAGAGAGGCGATTCGGGAGTGACAGACACAGCCAAAAGGATTTTCAAAAGTGTCACTTTCTCAGCACTGAGGCATGGATGAGCAAAGAATATGATTTCCGAAAGACTTCTGAAATAGTCTGGAAATATGAGGCTCTGCATTGGAAACAACCAAAAACTTTTCTCTATGCCAGAACTGAAGAGCATGTTTGAGGGATTGTGGGAAAGGAATTCCATTTATGCAAAATTATAGGAGAAAGACATTCCCAACGCTCAACATATGAGGACATATGTTAGTGGTGCAGGACACCCATGCCTGCCCTGGACAAGACCTTTAGCTGCAGAAATAGACACAGAACAACGTGTCTTTATCACGATGACCACAAAGCCACCGTACTGACGGAACAAAGCTTAAGTGTTGAAGACACTTGCCTGAATGACATGGGTTAATCAGCAAAAAGACGTCAATAGCTGCAATGACGCAACCTGTACTTGCGTCTCGCCTCAGTGCTGCTCTCCGTTCAAAAAAACAACTGACATCATCCTTCTCTCCTACACACTGTCCATTTCTTGTAGGTCAAGTTTTTGTGTGGGATTTCACCACAAAACTATAGAGTATTCCAGCCGTTAGACAGCATGACAGTGAATTCCTTGTGTAACACTGCAGCTAATTAAAATAATAATCACACCATACATATACATACATCACAAAAATACAGTAAAAACAGTAATAATGTGAAATATTAATATAATTCAAAATAGCTTTTTGATTTAATATATTTTAAAATGTAATTTATTCCTGTGATGGCAAAGCTGAATTTTCAGCATCATTACTGCAGTCTTCAGTGTCACATGATCCTTTAGAAATCATTCTGATATGCTGATTTGCTGCTCAAGAAATATTTCTTAAGTTATTATCAATGTTGAAAGCAGTGGTATGGCTTAATATTTTTGTGAAAACTGATACATTTTTTCAGGATTATTTGAAGAATAGAATAGCATTTTTTTTTATAGAAATGTTTTGTAAGATTATGAATCATTGTTTTCACTTTTGATCAATATAATGCATCCTTGCTGAACAAAAGCATTCAACTTTTAAATGGTAGTGTATATTATTATTATTATTAATAATAATAACAATATATCCACCATATTAAATTTGTATAATTATTATTTGATTAACATTTTTATTTCAATTTCAAAATATGTCACAAATTTACATATGGATGACAATTATCCATGGATAACATTTATCATGCATAAGAAGCCACACCCTTAAATGAGAACCCAACCTACATTAAACGTCTTCCTGTATATCACAGCATTCTCATTTTCCCCATTCAGTGCTCGGACACTCACCAGGTAGTGTGGAGATCGAAGGTAGGAGAACATGTCTCCTGTGGATCTGGGGCCAAAACCGGCCCCCGCTGAGAAAGTGAGGTCCTTCTTAAAGCAAGAGGGACAGCAAGCGATACAGAGAGGGCGGAAGAGAGAAATAAGGAATCAGAGACAAGAGTCAGTCACGGCTTTCTAACTCAAAGCCACAAAGAGGCAGGCACTAGGTGCTTAAAGAGAGCATCTTAGTAGGTTAAATATAGAAGCAGTAGCGTTCTCTTTAAATAGGCTCACTCATTAGGACACCGGTCTTAACTATTGTAGAGTAAAAGAGAGAGAGCAAAGCAACCACTAAGAGAAATCATGACAGGGTGGCCTTGTACGCTGCAGGTCTGCCAACAGAGGTCAGAGGTCACAGCACTAGAGATCAATGGAGATGCAGTTCACACGCTCCACAGAGAAACGGTGGGATTTCAATCGCCATAGTTCCTGTTCATGAGTCTGTCAGGGTGTAAGTTTGAAGCTCCATTCACACTGACAGTGATTAAATCACTAGAGGTCACCAAGTTACTGTGCTGTTGGTTGCTTTTGAACATTTCAACTAGACTGCAGTGTCAGGTGGCAAATCCCATGAACTTCACTGACCAAACTCCCACTGGTAGTTGCCAATTTTATATTTCTCATCGAATTTAACTTTGTTGGATGACAATTAATGACTTTTTTTGTGGTCTACACATCACTGTCAGTGTAAAGGCTTGATAAATAAACACTTTTGTCCTATTTTATTATAATATCTACAAGTAAACCATGTGTAGGTTGATGCACTCTGAAAAGTGAAAACACAACAGTGTTATCAAAACATTGCTGTTTGTTTGAGCTCCCTAGCCAGTCTGACATAGCAACAGTGGCTGAACCAATAGCGTGAGTTTGGGGCGGGGATTTTTTTTTTTTTTCAACCAATGGCGGACGAGGGAAGTGTTTGGGGAAACCTGTTTAAAAACAGTCAAAGCTTGACCTGCCTTGAGTCAGCAGTTTTGACATTTCATTGGCTGGGCAGTTGCCATGCAGGGCTTTGAACAAAGAACAATTTTGTGAGTGCCCTGTGTGCCTAGACAAGCTCTATGGCATAAGTCTTCGGCTGATAATTTGCACACGGTCACGTCGACTCTCGTGCCCAATACATCACACCCACTCACAACCCCACTTACTGAATAATGCATATAGTGATTACGGTGTGTGGCTGAGCCTGAGAGAGACTGGTGTTTACAATTCTCTAAAGTACAACCAATGTCCCCTTTAGGCAACTCTGTTGACTCGGCAGCCATTTCCGCAGCTTTAATAACACATCTATGTCAAATAGATTAGCCAAGAAAATTAGCCAAGTTGGCTAAACTGGCACATTTACATAAATGTTTATTAATGCGCATTGTCCCTGTAACCCTGTAACTGTATACATAAAAAATCAATTAATCATTCCTCATCAAGACGACATCAACTCGGTTCGCAGTATTTATAATAATAATACTATAGATAATACTATCAAAATTTTTATGTCAATTTCCAATTAGATTTTTTAATTTTATGGACAAAGCAAAAAATATAATCTCCCCTGCATCATTAAAGTTTTGGGGAATTGAGAAAAAATTACATCCCCACCAAGAGGTGGTGATATTATCAATAAACTTCTATGCAGGGAAGCGTTTTGGATTCATACACTTAACACTCTTGAACAGTCTAAATGAAGAATTGAGCTTATCATGCTTTCTCTAAACATTTAAGCATATTAAAATACATTATGTAAGATGAATATACTTCGATTCCCAGTGTATTGTGAACATTTTATGCTTGTAACCTGTGTGTGGGCACTTGCCCTTTAATGACTGATTTGTGAATATGGCACCTTGGATTAGATGGGTGGGTCTTTGGGTGGCTAAAGCCCCCTTTACGCATAATCACACCTGTTGATGATCCTTATTAATGGCTTCATTGCCCATTTTCTCTAAGGACTCTGATGAGTCCTTAATAATAAATAAATGTATTATTAAGAATGACTCATCTGGCGATGTCTTCCCTTTCTGCCTTGGTTTGTCCTGCAATGGTTGTACCGGATTGTTGTGAATTGCAGAAGCGCAGAGAACCTTCCTTTTCGTTTGAAAAAATATAATCTGTTGTGTTTCATAGAACAAAAAGTCAAACTTTTTTGATTGACATGAGGGTGAGTAAATGAGGACAGAATTTTCATTTTTAGATGCACTATTTAAATAAATATCTCTCACATGCTCATGCAGAAATCGTCACTATGGAGATTACAGATATGAATGAGAGGGTGAATCAGGTTAATTAAAAATTAAGACACTAATGCTTTTATCAAACCTCTCCTGCTTTAAACAACGCGATAAGAAAAAGGGCAAGGTTAAAGCGTGACCGGCAATCTGCACAAGAATACTGTAAAAAAGAATGTGTACATGTGTTATCACTTCTGCAGAGGTGTGAGTATTACCAAGTCTGTCATAGTGATTATAAGAACTCAACACTTGTCCACCAATTTAACACTCAACTTTTCAAGAGCTCTCTTCCTCTCTGCTTCTATATTTTATGCACTTTCTCCTTCCATAAAGGTGACCCACATAGAACCATCCCTACGTGCAAATATATAGATTTTGCTGTGCAGAGCTAATCCAGCATTAAACCCGTCACAGAAACCTCCAATCAGACACTTACCACTTTAGCCTCAGGGAATTTTGTAGGCTGGATTTCCATGATTTTAAAATGTCAATTCAACTATCCTTCAGTGCTTCATTGATAAGAGCGCTTCAGAGACATCATTGACATTCTTTAGGTCAATCAAAAGTCATGTGATCATTTTAGAGCTCAATCTAGTTAACAACAACAACAGCACTGAGACAGGCACAGACATAGAGGAAATAAAACCACTGTGAGGAACAAAAAGCCAGACAAAAGACAGGAAATGAAGTCAAACAGAAGTGTTGTCTGGGGTACAGGTGAGAGACAGCTGCTCAAGTAAACAAAGTTGATCTAAAGGCCTAAATAACATATACAACATGGCCTTTGTTTCAATATTTACATGTATTCGTTTAGCAGATACAAGACAAACCCCATTATAAACACATTTGTACAAATTATAAATGAATATTCAAGCAAGAAGGGAAAATCTAACCATGATCCTTTGCAATTACGTCATACTCTCAGCCTCAAGTTTTGTTTGAGGCACCAAGAAGCAAGTTACCAAGATAATCACAATCAACACTGTTAAGTCTGCTTTGTTTTATTATGTCTATGAAATAGTCTATACTAATGTACTGATGACGGTGGTTGGTTGCTTTGCAGTGGCTGATGTGAAGCTGGATTCCGCAGTGTTTTCGGAATGATTTTAGGTCAGACAGGTCATGGAGATCTTTTGCAGAGTATCCAAAATCTCTCTAGACCTTGAAAATTGAAGAGAAAGAATGAGAGGAAAAGCAGAAGAGAAATAGGCACCCACTAAAAACTTCTGCATTAGCCATCATGCAGCTTACGTTACTCCTACAGACTGATGATCAACTAACATCACCATGTCCCAGCGCTTCCATAAACTCTTAACTGGCACATACATTACACTCTGCTCTTCAGTGTTATGTCCAGTCTGCATACATTAGTCCAAATCCTAAAGATCAAGCTCGTTTGTCACCATTCTTAGTCTTTTTACGTTACAGTCGATAGCAATATAAGAACAAAAATAGTTCCTCCGGTACCCAGAGTTACGTAAACAAGGGAGATGACAAGAACATTGTCATCTGGATTATGGATTTAAAATCTGATTTACCCTTTTTGCCCGGGAGGAGAATGACCTGTTAAGATGTCAAACCACCACAACAAATCAAGACATGTTCTTATTCATCTTGAAATGTTTGTTCCTGACTCAGGGTTTTGAATCACAGGAAGAGAAGAAAATGAGACTCCTCAGACATCATTTGGTACTGATTGTTCATGTAAATAGTAAATTGTTGTTGAGTGTCAGTAAGACGGTCTCTTCCTGTCTTGGAGTACGGCTTGCAGCAAAAAATAAGCAGCAAAATGCAAGATTTTTTACCTTTCCATCTAGTTATCAATCAATATACCGGCCAGGTTGATAAATTGGCAGATATTTGGTAATTTAATTAGTTAATAACCATGTTTGCTTGAACAGAAGTATACAGAAATATATGGCTTCTATTTGAATATATTTTAAAATGTGATTTAGTCCTGTGATGGTAAAGCTGAATTACCACAGTATTCAGTCACGTGACACTTCAGAAATGATTCCAATATGTTGATTTTGGTGCTCAAGAAACATTTATTATTATCAACGTTAAAAACTGTTTTGCAGCTTAATATTTTGGTCAAAACCATGATACTTTTTCTTCAGGATTCTTTGATAGAAATAGAATAAAATAAAAAGTCAGTGTCCCATGCCTGTAAAGTGCAGGAGATTCAGATGTAAATCAAATCAAATATCACAAAATAAAATTTCTGCTATCTAGGGTTGCAAAATTCTGGGAATTTTCAAAGATGGAAACTTTCCATGGGAATTAATGGGAATTTAAGGCAATTAACAGGAATTTACGGGAATAAAGTGGGAATTTTCAAAGATGAGGGTTGGCTCTTCATAGGGAACTTAAATATAGTTGAGGAAAGTATATTTTAGCATAATCTTGACTAAAACAAACAGATGCCATTCAAATACACTTGAATATCCATGCCATTCCTCAATCACATGCACATAGAACACTGCTTACTGCATGGCTATTGAGACCACACCCCCTACTGGAACTATGCATGCCTCCATCACATGTACAGAAGCCCAAAGCACAAGACTATTGAAGGCACACATTTAAGCCTGTGGACTAAACAAAGTGAAGTAAGTTTTGATGATATTATGGGGAAATATATTCATTAAATGTTTAAATTGCAAATATCACATACAAATGTATTCATCTAGTAGCAATGCTGATAAGTTAGATGCTAAATAAGCTAGCATAACTTTATTTACCACATAAGGCAGATGCTAGCTACCTCATGTGGCTGTTTTTCTCTGCCTGCTGCAATATGTTTTCAAGATCATTCCAGTTGTT